TTTTTTTTTTTTTAAAGATTTTATTTTATTTATTTGATAGAAAGAGAGAGCACAAGCAAGGGGAGCGGCAGGCAGAGGGAGAGGGAGAAGCAGGCTTAATGCTGAGCAGGGAGCCCGACGCGGGGCTCGATCCCAGGACCCTGGGAACATGACCTGAGCTGAGGGCAGCTGCTTAACTGAGTGAGCCACCCAGGTGCCCAATACCTCCATTTCTATTACAAGTTCTGCATTTGATCTGTTTCTATGACCCTAAAATCACTGCCTTCCTTCAGGTGCCTCTAAATGAGTTGCCAAAAATGCACCAACAATCTACTTCACTCACATTAGTGAACTCGCTCCGACACTGACTGCTAAGAGGCTCTCTTACTGCCAGGCTGACGAAAGCTCGGCAAACACAAGGAAGGACCCAGGCCTGTTCACCACGGGATGCCAATGCCTAGCATAATACCTGGCACAAAGAAGGCATCCACTAAGTATCTGCTGACTGAATACAAAATTTTATTACCTCCTCAGATGTCTCTTAGATTGTGTTAAAATAATTTTTTGAAGTATGTTTTTCTGTTAGGGGTTGAGCAATATAGTTGGTCCCTAACCTCATAGTTTTTATATCTTGCCTACCCTTTGTAAGGAGGAAGAGCTTGTAAGGCATAAAAACACTAAAATACTAAAACTTAAATACTGAAATTCAGGACCAAGGAAAACAGAGTTAAAGTATTTGGTGGGGAGGGGGTGACAAGTGGGGGACAGAGATATAGAAGCTCTAAGCTTGTACACAGTAGTGAATAGCAGATTGGGCTCTGAAGGGCTTAATGACTCAGCACATACGAAGATATTTTGTACAGTTACAAAGTTCTCATTGTCCATAAGTAGAAAACACATGAATTCTTCAGAGAAATAAATATTTTATTCATATTTAGTTTGGAAGTAAACTTCTCATGTGGGATTTCCTATTGTGAATAAGTCTACTACCTGAAGAGGTATTTGACTTATTAAAATGATTTGGTCTCAGGATAACTTTAAACTCTTAAAAATAACTGAAGACCCCATACAGCTTTTGTTTCTATCAGAATTTCCCAACCTCAGCACTACTGACATTTTGGACCACATAATTCTTTGTTGTGAGGGCTATCCTATGCGTTATAGGATGTTCCTGGCCTCAACCCACTGGATGCCCATAGTACCCTACCAATGATGGCCGTAAGAATTATCCCCAGGGTGCCTGGGTGGCTCAGTTGGATAAGTGACTGCCTTTGGCTCAGGTCACGATCCTGGAGTCCCAGGATCGAGTCCTGCGTCGGGCTCCCTGCTCAGCAGGTAGTCTCCTTCTCCCTCTGACCTTCCTCCCTCTCATGCTCTCTCTCTACCATTCTCTCTCTCAATAAATAAATAAAAATCTTAAAAAAAAAAAAAGAATTATCCCCAGACATTGCTAAATGTCCTGCAGGGGTAACATCACCTCTTGTTGAGAACTACTCATTTAAATTGATTGTATCTACCAATATTTAGCATATTAGAAATGAAACTGAGGAATTAAAAACATTATGAATTATCCCAAAAGTAATGACAAATCCATTACATGTTAATATATCTTAGTTTTACTAAAACAAAAAAACAAAACCCTATATTTTCCAAACCATAAATAAATAAATAAATAAATAAATAAATTCAGTAAGAAGGCTATCACTGTTTTGTATTTTTGCAAGATTCTTTAATGTCTGGCTTAACAGAAAACAGTGGCTTTTCACATCTGCTTCTGCATTCAATCTTGGTGCTACATTGTTTTATTTGAAGTATATGAAGGCAATCCAGGCTCACTCAGATATGTAGTAGGAAGAGGGAGTATGTTTAAATAGCCCTTTCAGATACAGTATTTTTCTGGGATATTATGCCAAATTAGACAAGTGGCAATTTCTTAATGGCCAGGTGCAACATGGAATATGAAACTGAATCAATGACCTTTTCATACTCTGTTATATTGAAATCTACTGGTCTTACAATTTGAATGAATCTTTTACCTATACATGATTTTGTAACATCATGAGTTGATTATTTGGAAATTATTGGTTCATGACTCATGGAGACTTTCCAAATGTGGGCACATTTCATTGTACAATATCCCCAAATCACATTTGTTAATATCACTACCCATCTCATCAGGAAAATCTTTTAATTACTGGAAAGTGGTCAAGCTCTGAATGGCAGATACAAGTTTTCCAAAGTTCTAATTTTCATGCGAAAGTTCAAACTTTATTATTAGCAACAAATTTTGTCACTTGTTTTCTTTGAAGTGACAGGTCACTTCATTTTTTCCTTTTTTCTTTTTTTTAAAGATTTTATTTATTTATTTGACAGAGAGAGACAGTGAGAGCAGGAACACAAGCAGAGGGAGTGGGAGAGGGAGAAGCAGGCTTCCCGCCGAGCAGGGAGCCGGATGTGGGACTCAATCCCAGGACCCTGGGATCATGACCTGAGCCGAAGGCAGACGCTTAACGACTGAGCCACCCAGGCGCCCAGGTCACTTCATTTTCAAATAACCAAGTCAGAAGAGCCACAGTTTATCTGTCAGTAATTCTTTCAAGTAGAAACCATGTTCCATAAAAAAAAGTGTCTATGGGGTGCCTGGGTGGCTCAGTCGTTGCACAACTGCCTTTGGCTCAGGTCATGATCCCAGGGTCCTGGGATTGAGTCCCGCATCGGGCTCCCTGCTCAGGGGGCAGCCTGCTTCTCCCTCTCCCACTCCCCCTGCTTGTGTTCCTTCTCACTGTGTCTCTCTCTGTCAAATAAATAAGTAAAAAATCTCAAAAAAAAAAGTGTCTAATTCAGCTTGCAACTTAGCAATCATACAAGAGCTTTTCCTTGAGATAACCATCATACTTCAGTATGGAGACATTATATAGAATATTAAAAAGATATGTATTCAAATCAAGGGTTAATATTTAACAAAATTAATTTTTACTGTTACAAGGACATTGTTAATAAAACTGGCTTTAGCAAGTACATGGTGTCAAAAAACACAAGACTATTAGAACACTTTGACATCATCGCCTCAATTTGTGCTAAATAGCAGTTTTATCCACCATTACTTTTGCACTATCGGTGCAAACATAAATATAATGAAAAAGCAAATGTTATCTTAAATTATTAAAAAAATAGTTTTGACCTTGAAGAACTACTAAAAGGGTCTTGGGGACCTGCTAGGTCTATGCCCATACTTTGAGAACAACTGTCTTAAAGGATGAACAGAGAGCACCTGAGTGGCTCAGTCGTTAAGCGTCTGCCTTCAGCTCAGATCATGATCCCAGGGTCCTGGGATCGAACCCCCGCATTGGGCTCTCCACTCAGTGGGAAACCTGCTTCTCCCTCTCCCACTCCCCCTGCTTGTGTTCCCTCTCTTGCTGTCTCTCTGTCAAATAAATAAAAATAAAATCTTAAAAAAAAAAAGGATGACCAGAGTTTGACAGAAGTGGTAAGATTTGTGATTTACTTAACATTTGGGATATATGAATTCATTAAAGCAGTATTATATAGCTTTCCCAGGACAAGCCAAAAGCCTATTTAATTTAAAATGTGGCTGACCTATAGAGTACAAAGATTTTTATGGCATTTCCTTCTAATGATTTAAGTGGTAAGATTCATGTGATATATTTTCAAATTGAACGATTTAACTTGAATCAGAAAAAAATCATATTAATGACTAAAGTTGAGCCAGTCTTTATTCTGTTAGTTTCAAAGACACAGACTCTATAAATAAATTTATTAAACATGCTATAGTACTTGTACATTAAAACTACCCATTTTAGGGGCGTCTGGGTGGCTCAGTCAGTCACACGCCAGGCTCAGGTTATGATCTCAGGGTCCTTGGATCCAGCCCCTTGTCAGGCTCCTAGCTCAGCAGGGAGTCTGCTTAAGAATTCTCTCTCCTCCTCTCCCTCTGCCCCTCCCCCATCTCTAAAATAAATAAATCTTAAAAAAATACCCATTTTAGAATTTGTTTAAATATGACTAAAAATATGTGCCATTAAATAATGCTTACCATAGAAACACAAAGCTTTAAAAAGATAACTGTAATCAACAGTGAGTCATTCATTTAACAAACAAACACTTATTTAGCCATTATAATGCGCAAAGCACTGAATTAGGGATATTTCAAATGGCAGGGAAGAATATGAAGCCTCTGAAAACAGAATTTCCTGTTCAAAATGTTTTAAATAATCATTATAGAATTTGATGTAGAGGGGACAAAAATGAAGAAACAATACCTGAATTTTGGAGAGAATATGTATATACTGCTATTCAGGATGCTATGTGTTAATTACAAATTTTCAGCCTGAACAAAAATAGTTCTTTCAACCATCTACACAGTTGAAAGAACTGTGTAGATGGAATATACTAGGTCTTCTTCTTCTTCTTTTTATAAATACAGGGCAAGGCACGTAAAATACAGTAGTATTACAATAACAAATATAGGAAAAAAGTCTGGGTTTTTTTCACCAAAATGTTAACAGTAATCATCTCTGGATGGTAGCATACCTGGCGAATTTTCTTTTTTGCTCATCTATTTCCTAACTTTTCTACAAGAAACAATGTATTACCTTGTGATAAAATTTTATGTAACTATTTTTACATCAACCAGAAATAGAGATCAATGGATAATCATGAAGCGGAGGATTCAACATAAACTTTATATTGGTGAAAATTAAAAGAACCCTCACTAAAATGGAGTCAGGAGGTCAGAAGGGGCAACGCAAAAGAAGCCCTATCACTTACATATCAATTTCAGGAAGAACTGTCAATTCTAGCCTCCAACAGAAAAATCCTAAAGGGGAAGGAATTGTCAATTATAGACCCCAAAAGAAGAATCCTAAACAGGAAATCATCACTAACAGGCACCAAAAGGGAACGGTGTACATCGCATCTCCTACAAGAGTACTTCTGCAACTCGGCCAATGAGAAATCCTCACCACTCTAGCTTTTCTCCAGACTTTCCTTCAACCCCACCCCCAACTTCCTCCTCCATCAACAATGGTCCTGTCCTTTGTTGGACTTGCCTATGGTTTTGCCATAACTTGTGTATCCAGAAATGCAATTCTCTGCTATTCCCGGAAAACAAAACAAAACAAAATCATTTTTGCTGTTAAGAGAGCTGTTTTATTTTTAAGGTTAACATACTTAAGTGACATATGTTAACAGTGACAGTTCCGGTGAGTGAAAGCGGGGAAACTACAAGAGAAGGAAGAGCCAGTTTATTCTTTACCAAAAGGAGAGACACGATAGTTTGGAAAATGATTCGTGGCTCAATCATAAAGAAAAACGAGGACTGAAGAGGAATAATTTACGAAAGAAGAATTGGAGTGCGAAGAAGAGAGAGAAAAAAACAGGAAGGGAAACTCAATCCCGCACCAGAATGGGGCAGGAGAAGAAAACGCGGTAAACTGAGTCGTTAACCCACTCAGCTCCAGTCTAATTAGAAGACTCCAAAGTGAGAGGAAGAGCGCTCACTGTCCTTGAGGAAATTGCCTAGACCCGTATCAAGAAGATCCTCCTCCCCGCAAATTTCAGTTGCACCCGGCGGACAAATATCACCGTGAAACAAAACGCCTGCAAACCCATACCACCTGCTCCTCACCTCAATAACTCGCACAGGCACCAACCCCCTTTGGTGGTCGCCATCTTTCCTCGACCCCCGAACTCAGGAAGCGCTTCTCTGTTCCTCTTCTCTATTGGCTCCTGAGGAAGCGGGAGGTGTTCTCTCCGCCCCCACGGGGCACATTGTGCATTTCAATTGGCTGCTGGTAGTAGCTTCCCACGGCCTTCCAGCCAATAGAATCTTCCGGGGGGGGAGCCAAGTTTTCGGCGTGGCGCACAAGGATCCCGCCCCTCTAGTGGGCGGGGCCGTAGCGGGAGTTGGGCTGCGGAGGGCGTGGCCTGTGATGGACAGCCGGCGCACCCGCCCTACGCCCCCTCCCCCACTGGAAGCCCCTAGCCCGGAGCCTGCCTGCGGTTAAGACCAATGGGAGGCCCTTGCGCGTCTCAGATCGATTTTCCAAGTGCGGAGTTCAGTCTTGTGGCTGCTGCAGCGTCTGGGATCCGCCGTGCTCTGGAGCCAGGCGCGGAGCGGAGAGGGAGCTGTGCGGAGCCGACCCGAAGCCGGCGCCCGCCGCGCCGCACCTTCCCCGGTTGCCAAGCCCTGGGATCTGCATCTCCGGTCCGGCTCTGCGCCGCTCGCCCGCCCTCCTGTCCTTTTCAGCACACGCCGGAGGCCGAAGACCGAGTCCGCAGCGCACCGGCCCGAGGTAGCGGAGACCTGGGAGGGAGGACCGGCTCCCGCCTGGGGCACCGGCAGGGCCGCCTCCGGGTGTGAGTGAGGGTCCGAGGCCCACCCTCCGCTCTGGCGCTCATCCCCGCGCCTCCCCCCTTCCCCCAAGGGCCAGGGCGCCGTGGCGCGCAACTTTGAACCAGTCCGTAGGGCGAGGTCTGCTGACCCCTTCGTCTGGAATGCAGGGGCCGGTCCCCAGACCCATCCCCGGGTGAGACAGCCGAGCCGCAAGATGCCGCCCACCGCCCGCTCCTCTTCTCCCCAGGTTTTAACGCCCCGCTTCTCGTCCACTAACCAGGTGACCTGGGGGCTCTGGGCCGATCACAGAAGAAATTGGCTCCTCCGGAGGAGGTTGCTTGAACAGGAAAGACAGATTACAGCCAGCGAAGAGGCCAGTCGGAAAGTAAGTTTCCTTCCCCGGGCGCTGTGTGCTCACACCTACCAGGAGGACTTTGCACGCCCACCTGCCGACCTTTTCTCTGCGGCCCCGCGTGGCCGCAGGGCTGCCAGAGCCCCAGCCCCAGGGGAATCGGGGATCGTAGCAAGAGCACCCTCAGAAAAGGCATGGCATTAACGGGTTTGCAAGAACGATTGAAACCCCAGCACTTTTCCATTCATCTTTGTGTTAAGGGATCTGAAGCTGGAGATGTAAAGTGAGCGTCTAGTTGCTGTATAAGAGCTCTTAATTGCCCAGAACGATTAAATTAATTACCTAGAGAAGTTGTTCAGAGTGCGCGGATCTCTTTATGATGTATTCAGGTCCTGCAACTTTTTTTTTTTTTTAAATAGGCTCCACACCCCCTGTGGAGCCCAACAGGAGGACTGAACTCAGGACCTTGAGATCAAGACCTGCCTGAGCTGAGATCAAGAGTGGCGCATAATTGACTGAGCCACCCAGGCGCCCCCTGCAACTTTTCTTTTTTATAAAGAACTATTTTGAATTCATTTTAATTACACAAGTAACACAATAACGCGGTGACTTAAAAATGCCAACAGTACAGAATTATTGAGCATGAAAAGCAGATCTACTTTCTAATTCTTTTCTGTTGATTTACATATGTCTTCATTTGTTCAGCAAACATTTATTGAAAACTTACTGTTTCAGGCATAGTGTTAAAGAGCTGAAAATACTGTGGTTAAAAAAAAAAATGTGTGTGTGTATATATATCCAGAGAAATCTTTAGATTTTATATGTGTGTGGGTTTAAGATTTTTGTTTTGTTTCACATGAGATCACATAGTGTATATTCTCCAACCTTTTTTTTTCTTTTCAATGGAACTGTGTTTCAGAGATTGTTTCAATTTAGTACATAAGCATCTGCCTTGTTAAGTTTAACCTCTGTACAATATGGATGTATATCATGTGCATACCATAGTATGTTCATCTTTTCCCTGTGAGTGATCCTTCTGGGTGCTTCTAACCACCCCCCGCCCCAAGCCTTGCTGTAGTGGACGTCCTTGTACATGATTTGTAGTGCTGACACTTGAGTATTTCTTAGGATAGACATGTAGGCCTGAACTGCTGGTCTACAGATTTCTGAAGTTAACATTATTGTGTGCCCTTTTGTAGTGAAATCTGTCTTGGGCTCTGGTGGTATAGCAATGAAAGGTAAGTGGATTAATGGATTGTTAGAGTCTGGCTGATCGATGATTCTTAGTATGATGACTCTGCATTTAATGGAGGTGTGAAGAACATGTGGGTGAGGGATGGCTCAGAAAGGGGGAGACACTTCCAGACCCCTGCAGTGCCCCCACCTCTCTACCCATCAGAAAAATCCTTATCCTTCCAGATCAAGCTCAAGATGCTTTCTCCTTGAAACTTTGATAACTGCTTCTCCCAATTTTGACCTCACCCTCTTTTGGATTCCTTAGATAATAGTATTAGCCAGCATTATTGAGCTAACCACTACTAGGCACTCTATTAAGTACTTTATACCCCCTTATGTGCACAAAACCCTTTGATATAGGTCTTATTTTCCTCTTAGCACCATTTATTTAACACATTTTTTTAGTATTTATTGTGTGCCAGGCATTCTAGGCACTGGGGATCCAGCGAAGACTAACACCCTGCCCTCAAGGAATTTATGCCCCAGAGGGAGATCCAGAAATGTAAAAGGGTAAACAAAGGGGCACCTCTGTGGTGCAGTTGGTGGCGCAGTCGGTCAAGCATTCAACTCCTGGTTTCAGCTCAGGTCGTGATCTCAGGGTCATGAGATCGGGCCCCATGTCGGTTCTGTGCTCAGCACAGAGTCCACTTGAGATCTCTCTGTTCACTCCCTATGCCCCTTCTCCTGCTCTCTCTCTCTCAAATAAATAAATAAATCTTAAAAAAAAGTGGTAAACAAGTAGTGTAATTTCTGGTACTAATAAGCATTGTGAATAAATCAGGTTATGGGAATTACAAATGACAGGGGAGGGGAGATGCAGGTGGTCAGGGAATTCTCTGAGGTGGTTGTATGAATAGAGACCTGAATGGTTCAGATTTGGGGGAAGTGTTCTAGGTTGAGGAACTAGAAGGTGTCAAGGTCCTTAGTCAGGAGTGACCTGAATGTTGGAGGATCCGTTAGAGAAAGCCAGAGTGGCTGGAGCAGAGAGGAGAGGGTGTGTACAATACAAGGTCAGGGTTCATCTTTACAGAAGCTGAGGAAGAGAGAAGAAAGTTGCCCAAGGTCCTACAGGTAGTAAGAGGCAGATCTGGGATTGAGTCCTAGCCAGGTCTTTTTGACTTTCTCAGGTCTTTGACACCTGGTCATACTGTCTGATATAATTATTTAAACTTAATCTGAATGTAGCTGTTTCTTTTGCGACTCCTTCTTGAAAGTAGGGACCAGGTTTGTATCTTTTTTTTTTTAAGATTTTATTTATTTTGAGAGAGAGCGTGCTTGCACAGCAGGGGGAGGGGCAGGGGGAGAGGGAGAAAGAATCTAAAGCAGACTCCATACTGAGCAAGGAGCCCAACCTAGGGTTTGATCTAACCCTGAAATCATGACTTGAGCCATAACCGAGAGCCGGACACTTAACTGACTGAGCCACTTAGGAGCCCCTAGGTTTTTATCTCTTAAAATATATTCCCAGGGTTGCCTGGGTGGCTCAGTCGTTAAGCGTCTGCCTTTGGCCCAGGTGATGATCCCGGGGTCCTGGGATCGAGCCCCACATCAGGCTCCCTGCTCAGTGGGAAGCCTGCTTCTCCCTCTCCCACTCCCCCTGCTTGTGTTCCCTCTCTAGCTGTCTCTCTCTCTCTGTCAAATAAATAAATAAAATCTTTAAAAAAAATATTCCCCATAGCCCATAATAAGAGGTGTACCACAGTCGTTCTTCAATGAATGAATTATAGCAAGATGCTTCCTTCCCCTCTCTTGCCACCCTCCCCCCTTCTTTTCTCTTCAGAGGCCTGTCTGGGGCAGCAGTGACCGTGGAAAGGAGGTGGTAGTTCATGACAGGGTCATTCAGCCTTCACTCTGCCAACATGGAGTAGCTTCTCTTTCTCTGGTGCTGGGCCAAAGCAGAACAGAGGTGCAAGAGTGGCACAAAGATGAATAGAGGTCAGCCTCCGTGCTCTTGGAGCTGACAGTCCCAGATGTCTACACAGCACAGCACTCACAGGCAAGAATGGTCAGCCCTGCCTGGGAGGAAGGCTGCAAAAAGAACTTTAAGAAGAGGTGCTGTGTGAGTGAGGTCTTGAAGGAGAAACACTGTGTGTCAGCCGGGCACGCAGAAGAGTGAAGGGAGGGATGTCCCAGATAGGGACCAGCATGTGCAAAGGTCCGGAGGATAGGAATGGAAAGATGGATTTGCTCTGAGTGGCTGAACAGGGCTGGAAAGGTGATGGTGGGAGGCCCTGTTGTTCAGGTCTTTTGGACTTTATTCCACAGACTGGGGAGTTTGTGGAACCTGGGAAAACAGTGTGAGGTGCTCCTCCAAAGAAAAGGGTGAATGGGGAAGCGAGCTGCTAGAGACTTGCTTAGAGGCCTTTGCCAGTGGTCAGCCCAGCCAGACCCATTGCCTGCAAATGCTTTTCACTTGTTCTCTGTCAACGTCTTGCGACTCAGGGAGACCCTACAGAAGAACTGGGAGTCCCATTCCCTGTGGAGTTGTGTCAGGGAGAAAGGAGGTTTTTTTTAGACTCCTCGGTGTCCAGAGTGTCAGAGGCAATGGTAGTCCTAGCAGCAACAACGGAGTGTAGTTGGTACACAGGTAACTGGGGATAAGCTGGGGGTGGGGTGGGGGCCCAGGACAAGGAACTGGGTAAAAAGCTAGGGGGGCAAGAGAGTTGGATTTTAAGTGCTTTTTTATCTGACATTTATCTTCATGGCAAGAATGGAGATGGCCCAGGGCCATGATGACTGTTCATGTTCCAGTGTGTGCAATGTTATTTTTATCTCTAGGATTAGAATCATTACCAAGTGAAATTCTCAAATGTGTGACTTTTTTAAAAAAAAAAAAAACTAAGTTAAAGGAGAAAAATCTGAGCAGATCAAAGGTCGATGAGATAAAGTAGAGGGCAAAGCAGAGTGACTTGTTATTGTGATGTAACCAACATGGTAAATAAGATTTAAAAACACCAGTAATTGTGAAATCTGTGGATTTGGAATGCAGCACTTGTGTTGAAGCCTCAGTCCCTACAGAGACTCAGAAGTACTCCGCATAGGGCGTTAGAAACACTTAGAATTCTTTTAAAAGTTACTGTTATAAAAGTAATTTAATTGTATAAGCAAGATTTGGAAAATAAAGCCCAAAAGGGGAAAATTGACTTTTACTCTTACCACTCTTAGCATGACTGTTAGCTTATTTTATAAACTTCCTTCATTATTTGTTTTTGCTGCATCAGGTTATTAATTTTTAGAAATAAAAAAATCTATTCTTACAACTGACAGAGAACCAGTATTAACATCTTTGGCATATTGCGGTCCAGTCAGTCTCTTCTGTATTTTTTTTTTCTTTTTCTAAACTCCATGGTGTGTGTGTTTTAACAGCTTTAAAAGCTGCCCATTAGCGAGGCTGTCATTATTATCAGTAAATCTGTGGCCTCTCGCTATCCTGGCAGATTGACTGGTTTAGTCAGAGGCATCTCCGTGCCCCCCCACCGCCAGCCCGGGGTCCTCTCCCTCTGCTGCCCCAGGGCAGTGCTGCACCCAGCCTGCTTTCTCAGCTCCTACAGCGGAGGGACAGGACAGCTAGCACATTCGGGCAACCCCGCAGCTGATGCTGCTGGCTGTTTCTTGTTCCTAATCTCAACTCTGCCTGCAAATGCTTTTCACTCGTTCTCTGTCAACGTCTTGCGACTCGGTGAGCCTTGTGCTCCATCTCTGCCTTCCTTATTCTCAACAAATGACCTCTGTTCTTACTTCGAGAAAACTGACACCATTGTGTCTGGTTTTCTTCCACTTACTGGCCACCTCGATGC